AGACGGCCCCCTAGGCTCCCGAGGTCGCCGCACGAGGCCCCGAATCGGCCCGCAATACGGCTCAAGAAGGTCCCACGACGGCCCAAGAGGCCCCCAAGACGGCCCCACAGTGAAGCGCCCAGAGTGGGACCCACGATTGCCGAAAGAGGGCTCCAAGACGGCCTCCGAGGTTACCTAGAGGCCCTCCAGAGGACCTCAATAGGCCCCCAAGACGCCCCAAGAGGCCCCCCAACGGGGTTCCAAAACGGCTTGGGGAGCACGTAGTCAAATAGCTTGGCCACGCTTCGGAGCAACGTTCGGCCCCAAGACAGCCCAAGGTGGCGCCAAGATGTCTCCAAGACGGTTCAAGATGCACCCAAGACGGCACAAGATGGCCTCAGGATTGACCCAAACGACTCAAGTGGCCCCCAAGAGGCTTCCAAGACGGCCCATAGGCCTCCAGGAGGGCCCGAGGGAACCAAAATCACTGTTCCTTGTTTTTTGTGTTGCTACGTGCGCACCCTCCAGGAAAACATGACAAATCCCCAACGAGCCCGCTTGACTTTGGCAGCGGATTCACCGGTAAATTCACTTCTGTTCTACGGGAGCTTGTCATAAAGCTCAGATTCGTAAAACTATTCAGAACGAAGCTGACGCTTGCCTTCCTGTTCAAAGCCGAACCTTTGCCGACTTTTGAGCGCAAGTCGTCACGAATGCGGCAATCACAGCGATGGGATATACGCTTTCGTGCACGCTGCATGCGAGTGCGAAGTGAAAACCGTTCCATGACCAGAATTTGAAACGCCGAGAGAAGCGCAGATGATTGTGGCGAACCAAGGCTGCGTCGCAGAGGAAGCGGTCGAGCCCGTACAACTCTCACTCTCATACTCTGTGTAGTCTGCCGACGAAGCATCGCTGCACGTCAAAATGAAACTCGAAGCACCGCTGGCCACGCCGCCGTTGACATCCGTGTAAACGTAGCAGCTGGCGGACCCTGCAACCTTTTTTACGTAGTCGGTTTTGTCCAGGGTGCTATCCGAGCAACCCGCATCTGCGTAGGATTCAAACGTATACACTTCGGATTGGGTGGCGTACACCTTGAGAGAACAATCGTAAAACAAGACGAACAACAACGCACAACCGAACGATGCCATCGTACGCAAACCGACAAAATAACAATACTGTTATCGAACCTGCGTTCGGATCGGTACAGACTTGTGCCGGGACGTCAGTGTCAACCTGGACGGCTTAAATCGAATGGCTTGAGCCATAGATAGCTTGAGCCAACATGGCTACGGATCACTGTCCGTGGTTGTTTGATTAGTGTTGGCATGTGCTTCGTTTCGGCCCTCCGAAGGCCCATGACGGCCCAAGAGGCTCCAAAGATAGTCCAAGAGGCCTCCCACATGGCCCTATGATGGCCCCAGATGCTCCTGAGACGGCCCGAATATGCCTCCAATAGGCGGCCCAAATCAGCCTCCTAAGACGGCCCAAATCGGCCCTCAAGACGGCGCTGAAGCGCCCCAAGAGGGCCCCAAATCGGTTCAGAGGGCCCCCAAGAGGCAGAGGAGGCCCCAAGAGGCTCCCAAGAGACTCCCAAGAGGCCTCAGTGTCCGAAGAGGCCCCAAGATGCCTCCACGAGGCCTCCTAGGCCTAGGCGTCCCACGAGGCCTTCCAGAGGACCATCAAGAAAACCCGAAGAGATCTCTCCTCTTCTTCTTTCTCACCCATGTGTTCCCCGGAGGGTTTCCACTGCGGCTCGGGAAGCGCACCAAGCCCTCTACGTACAAGAAGCGACTACAAACAGGACCACCCAATACAAAGAACAGTTTGAAGGATCCGCGGAACGTGGGGACAACTGTACAGGTGGCAACGCCGCAACCGATGTAGTCCTGGACCACTTCGCTGGACCTCCAGGGATCCAGCAAATCTGGCCACGATGGCTCATTTCGCAACGCCCAGGGAAAGCAAGGTCTCATTGTAATGTGAGTAAGGTTAGGTCGGGCATGTCCCCCTACAGGCGGTTTTTGGGCGAAAGATAACCGAAGTGAACAACTATTCAAAAATAACCACACATAGACAAAATCAAGCACGTCCACATACTATTCTTGTACTATTTTTGACTATTCCACCTCTAGAGGGACAGGCCCGACTTCAGAGTAAGACCGCTCCGCCAACCTCCCAGGCGCGCACGAAACAGTTCGCACCCCCCATGCGGCGACACCTCAGACTGATGTTCGTACGACACCACCACGCTGGACCTCCCAGCAGCCTACGAATCTGCTGTTAAATGCTGAGTGTGCAGCCCCCGCTGAAGGCGAGGCCCCATGCTGATGCGCATAAAACTCCACTTGGCTGAAACTCCCAGAACTGAGGAAAGCGGCGACGGTGGCGCACTTCGCAACACCCGGGCGGGGAAAGCGAGGTCTCGTTCTGATGCGCGTGAGGCACCACTCCGCTGGACCCCTCCCAGGAGCCCACAGGAACGGCGACGGTGGTGCAGTTTGCACCCCCGAAGGAGGTCGAGGTCTGACTCTGATGCGCGCAAGGCACCACCACTCCGCTGAACCTCCGCTGGACCTCTCAGCTCGAGTAGTGAGTGGATCGACTACAGAATCGATGCATCCCAGCATATTTGTTTGTCGAATCCTTGAAAAATGCGACGTCTCTCTTGTAGGTTCGACGAGGAAATCAATTGTGGGGTAAATCAGTCCTGCAGTCGATCCCCTCTTCGAACCACGCCGCTGGACCTCTCAGTTGCACACTTCGCAGCTCCCAGGGGAACCACGAGGTGCGTGGCAAGCAGACAGCAGGAATCATGTCGGAGGCACGGGGCAAGACGGGGAGAGGAACGGAGGCTAGAGAAAGTAGCGGCCTAACCCACAACGAGATAGCAACGCAGGAGGATTGGGGACATAAAGCATGCAGGCAGGCAGGAGGCACAAGGCAAGAGGAGGAGGGTAGGCACGAGCGAGGATGCGCGAGGAAGCAGGTGGCAGACGAGCGAGCCAGTGCTCTGTCCAAGACAAGAACCCAACTCAGGAGGGTGGGGAAACGTGTGTCCCGCATGTATTGCAATGCATCTCACAACATAGTTTCATTCATGAGGTCACCGCGCTCATGGCGACGAGCTGCCCCCCGCGTTTGCCCATTGGTATGCAGGCCAGACGCTCGAACACTGGACCAGCAAGTCCACACCGTCGCATCACTTGGCATAAACAAAAACGGGTGCTGTGGGAAGCAGGTCCTCGCCTCGGAGCCTTCCCCCCAGAGCCAATCCTCCATCCGAGTCGTTTTCTGACGGTCCCGGGGCCTGGCCCCAGGAGGCGAAAGATATATACAAACACTGTCCCTCAGGACCCGTGTGCTTCATGGCGAAGCCGGCCGAAACCGGCCAGGCCGCCTCACATCCGAGGCCCGCTGCGTGCGCTGGGCACGCCCTCCGCTGCTCGGCCTCGGTGCCTGCCCCTGCGCGCGGCCTTGAGGACGCGCAGAGCCGCCCAGCAGCCAACAGAAAACAGGAAACGTCGCGTCGTAAGCAGGACCAACGGCATACGGTGGGTTCGTGCGGCGTCGGCGCGCGCACGAGTCTTTGACACCGCGTCGATCGTTCAACCTGGAATCGATCCCGGTCCGATCGTTCAGAGTGACATTCCGTCGGGTCCTGTGGCGTTGACGTGCCCCTCAGTGCTTCTGCGTCGCTCTATCATGTGGAATTCAACCTCGAACGCCTTCGCCGGCGCCGCCAGCGCGCCAACGCCGCATGAACCTACCGTTGTCATCGTGCAGCCACGAGGGGTGCAAAACAAGGGGCGAAGAGTTTCTGCTCGGCCACGGCGAGCCTTGGCCACCGCATCCGAGGCGCGGCCCGACAACCCGCCCCCGCCGGAGCCCAAACACGTAGGCTTTGACTCAGGCTCTGCGCTGCATTGCGCCCGCCCCCCCCCGAGCACAGCCTCCTCGAACAGTCGAGGAGGAGGGGGGGGTAGGGAGGAGGAGGAGGCGGAGGAGGAGGAGGAGGCTCGCTGGACCTCTTCCTCCTCCTCCTCCTCCTCCTTCTCCTGCGTCCGCCCATCTTTTTCCGAACGGAACCCGCTCTGCGATGCCGGCGCCATGAAATCTCCTCCTGGGCTCCTGGGCAGGAGCCAAGGCAGGGGACAGGGCACGAGCCAAAGCCCGGCCCCTCAGCGCGCCCGGGGAGGCGGGCCGAAGCCCCCCCCCCCCCTCCCTCCAAGGCACCGCCGCTGGCACGCTCCGCGCGCCATGGAAGGGGGGGGGGTCCCCAGGCGCCGATCCAAGCAATCTGCGCGAGCCTCCGCGAGTTCGTGTCTGACGTGCAGGTCCTTCTGTCTCGGTCCTCCCCCTCCACCCTGCTAGAAGGCCCACCCCCCTGGGCGCGGAGGCGGCCCCGATGGGGCCAGGGCAGGCGATGGGGGGTCGTCGAAGGTGCTCCTGGCCCCAGGTGTTCCCAGCACGCCGCGCCATTTTGGGGCCCCTGGGGCCCGCTGGGCCTCTGCAGCACGCGAAGACGAGGGCGGAGGGTGGGCGTTTTCTTGTGCGGCTTATTCGGCGTTTCGGCATCGGGCGGAACGGGGGGGGAGGCGGGGGGGGGTCTGGCCCTGGACTTCTGCTTTCATGCGGCTGTTTGGAACCGCGCGTCCTCTGGGGGAGACGCCCCCTGCTCGAAACAGACGCCCAAAACAGCCGAGATCTTCTCCGTGGAGGGGGGAGAGGGAGTCCATTTGAAAAAGCATATTGGCCGTCTTGAAGCCCTCTTTGGCTGTCTTCACGCCATGTTGGACCAATTTTGAAACGCGTGTGCGCGGTCTTGGGCCCTTTTGGCGCTTTTGGGCCATCAGGAGGAGGAGGAGGAGGAGGAGGAGGCGGAGGAGGAGGAGGAGGAGGAGGAGGAGGAGGAGGAGGGAGGGGGGAGTGCGAGGGCCCGCGCCGATCTGCAAAACCATGGATAAAAACAACCATCACAAGGCCGCGCCGCAGCGGCGGTGCTTCGGCGGGGCTGCCTCGCTGACCTTCTCCGACCTGGCCCTCTCCTTCTTGGCCTGCCGCATGGCCTGCCAGGGGAGGTCGGGAAGAGCAAGAAGAGGCGGCCGCTGCTCGTCGAGGGCGACGAGCACGTCCATTCGGGGAGACGTAAGACTCGGGTACGGGGGACGCGGGTTGGCCCGACGGGGCCATCATAAAAATGAAGAGACCCAATCTGAAATTTGACGCGGGCTCCCGCTGCAGACATCCCACGAAAACGGGACTGTCGAAATCCAGGACGCGCTCGTCAAAAAACGTCGGCAAACCCGAGTTCCGGCTTACCCGAGTCTCACGTTCCCCCGATCCATGTCCGTGCCCTTTGCGGGCTGGACGACACCACGACGCGGTCCCGTGTTTGCGCGGTTCCACGGGTGCCACTCGCCCAGGCCAGCTGCGCAGAGCTGCCCCGCCGACAGGGTCGCGGCCGAGGAGTCTGGACCGCGAGGATGTGGGTGTAAGGCTCTGGATGTGTTTCTCGCCACGAGAAACGGGAGGAAGTCAGCATACCTGAAACATCCGAGCGATTCAAGGAGGCTGCGAGTTGGGCGTCGGCAAAGCAGGCCCTTATTCGGACGCGTGTCGCAGCATTGATGTTGGAGACCTTCCAATCCTAACATACTCATACCAAGTTCGCCCATCTTGTACGTACATATGTTCGTCGCAGGTGAGATGGAGAGGGAGGGTGACGATGGGAGAGGGGGGGAGAAGGAAGAAGGAACATGAGGACAAAAACGATGGACAGCACATCGATTCACGGCGGCAAGCGATGCCCGTAACCAAACAGACTGAACTTTTCCGATTGCCACAGAAGTACCCTGTGGGGGTGACGGTTTATAGGAGCCTCCAGGGCCTTGGAGGGAGGAACAGGGGAAGGAGAAGGAGGGATGATGGAGGAGGCATAGGGGGGAAGAAGAGGAGAAGGAGAGGGAGGAGAAGAGAGGGTGGCATGGGGATAGAGGGAGGAAACGGACCGAGCACGGCAACACTGTGGGTCCCGCGGACACCATTAATCCAGCTCAGCGCCAGGAGAGAGTCCCGATGAAAGTAGCGCCGCTACGGGGCAGTCGGGGATGCGCTCCCCATCAATCGAGCAATCAATAGACGCGTCGAACAATCAAGAACGACAGGAAAGACTGGGTTAGTGCCGTACCAGCTTGCAAACCTACCCCGCTTACCAACCTGAGAGAGGAGAGAAGGTGAGAGCAAATGACGTGCGCTCGCGCTTCTTCTAGCACCACACGCCTCCCACCCCGATTCTGCCGAATTCCTTTCTGTTCGCCGAGTCGGGTTTTGGATCGGGCGTTGATCACGGCTGGCGTCTGCAGATCTTGGCTAGTCATCTGCAGCACAAGGAAGGACTAGGAAGACGAGGACGAGGACGACGATGACGCCCGCGACGACGGCGAGAGAAAAACTGGCGAGGGAGGAGGCAAAAGAACGGGTTGAAGAGGCCGCCATCACGCCTGCGGGCCCTGCGCCACTTCGTCCTCCGTCCTCCTCCCTCGTCCCTCTCATCCTCCTCCTCCTCGTCCTCCTCGTCCTCCTCCTCGTCCCCTCGTCCTCCTCCTCCTCCTCCTCGTCCTCGTCGTCCTCCTCCTTCTCCTTCTCCTCCTCCTCCTCCTCCTCCTTCCCCTTCCTCCTCCTCCTCCTCCTCCTCCTCCTCCTCCTCATCCTCCTCCTCCTCCTCTTCCTCGCCCTCCTCCTCCTCATCCTCCCCCTCTTCTTCCTCCCTTTCCTCCTCGCCGAAATCTCCCGGTCCCGTCCTTCAATGTGTCCTCTTCTTCTTCTTCTTCCGCCTACGTACTCTTTTTCCTCCACCTCCACCTCTTCTTCCTCCTCCTCCTCTTCCTCCTCGTCCTCTCCTCATCGCCATCCTTCTCGAGTGACCTCGACGCCAGAAAGGACAATCATCTGTTGGTTTCGACGACATGGGAGCGAATCTTATAAAGCCAAATGGTTCGATTGGAGGAGTAAGCCACGATTGTTCACACTGTGGGCCGTCCCGTGCACAACACGGCAACACTGTACACGATTGCGCCCACGGTGGTGGGTGTAACGCGGTCGTCGCTGCAGTGGTTACAGCAAGTTGCCAGATGACCAAGCCCTGCACAGTGATACTCCCTTGGGGCAAACATTCGTGCACACCCGGAAATCTTAACCAGCTGGCGACGACCGCAAAACCGATTATCCCACCCGGGTTGACAATCCAATAATCTAAGGCAGTCACCTTCGGGCATGTTTGGGGCGTTTCTGTTACAGCTACGATTGCGGGGTTTCGGCCAACTAAATGTTAAGAAATGAGCCGATTCAGTTCAGGCCGATGGATACTCTTATGCGGGGCCTTGTCCAGGAGTGGACCCATGACGATATTACCTGGGGTGGGGGCGAACAAATTACCAACAGCCAAGTGCCCCTCTTTTTTGTTTGAAACCAAAAAAACATGTCTGGCTCGATGGCGGGGTCGCCCCGTAGTTCACGGGCTGGACGAAGTATCGCACTTGACACTCATACTACGCGGCGGTGTTCTTAAAATGCTCGGTTCAACCAAATATCTCTTTCTCCATCAAACACGCGGGGGCGGGGGCGAGCCGCCCCTTGGGCCATCAGGCCGTCGATCACCATCTGCCTGCCTGGCCAGGCGTCGGCGCCCTTGCGATGCTTAGGAAAGATCACGTGGGCGAGGGATGGGGCGGGAAACCCAGGTGCTTGGGCGCATCTGCGCCATTCTGGTGGCGGAGGCTCCCAGCGCTTGTCTTGACGCCCTCGATCACCTCACCGGCGTCAGGTTTGCGCGCGTGTCTGGCACGGCCCATGCGACGGCGCCTGCGCTTTGCAACGCCCGCAGCGACACCCGGAGGCGCAACGCCATCATTGACGTGAGCAGCGACACGACGTGCCCCAATTGTCCCAGGTCGCATCAGCTTTTTGGTCTGCGGGGCGAGAGCGAACCTATTCCGGTAAAAGCTAGGCGGGGCAATTACGCACAACTCTTAGGGTCGCATCAGCACGTGGCCCCCGGAAGCTCGAAGTCCTCCTCGGCGACGCGGTTCGCCCCCTGCGGCCGCCTCCGCGGCCCCCGCCGCGGCGCCCGGCTCCTCCTCGGCCTCGTTCTGGTGCGGCGTTGGTGTCCGTCCAAGCTCTCGCGGACAGCGTTCTCGGCGCCTGTCCGTCGTCTTCGGCCCCGCCCCAGGAGCGCCCGGGCCCCGTCGACCGCGGCGGGGGGCGTCGCGCGCTGCCCGCGCCTCGGGGCCCATGCGAAGGAACGCGAACCGAAAGCCAAACCCCCCCGCCCCAAGAGGCCCCCGGAAGGCACCCAAAAGGTTGGAAGGCCCCCGCGAGGCCCCTGGAGGGCGCCCAAGAGCCCCGGAGAGGCCCAAAAGAAACCACAGGATCCCCCCGAACGCCCCCCCGAGAAGCCCCCCGCGAAATCCCAGCGAACACCCTACTCCAGAGGCCGCAAATAGGCGACAATGCGTTCTGCCCCCCCCGCCCCCCCCCCCCCTCCCCGGCCCCTCTCCCTGTCGCAGAAGGGCCTGGAGATGGGCCCCCTCCGTCGCAGAGAGGGACGCTGCGCGCGTTATTCTGCCGCGGGAGCTCCCGCTACGACTGGAGACGATAGAAGAAGCACGCGATGGCAGGAGGGGGCGGAGAAGAAAAGGGAGCAGGAGAGGGAGGCGACGACAGCACCGACGCCAACGCTGTTTCTTTTTCCCGCCCCGCCTGGGCAGCGATCGCCGGGCGCGGAGGCGCGCGCGAGCCGCCGCCGCTCGCGACGCACCGCCGCGGCATCCGTCCGCGGCGAGGCGACGTTCGGCCGACGAGGCCCCCCTCCGCTTCCGCGGAGTGGCGGCCTCCATGCCGCGGCCCATCGAAGAAGTTCCCCCCGCGGATTGTCGTCGGCGAGGTCCTGGGACCCCAGTGCCCCCAACTGCTCGCCCACTCACCTTGGCGCGCCGTGGCTGAGGAGCGCCGTTGCAAAGTCGCGCCAAACGGATTCGATCCTGCGGCCCGGCCTCGAGGAAGCGGCGCCGCGAGGCTGTGGCCGCTCGCGCTCCTCGCCCCCGCCTGCTGCCCCACCGTTCCCACGATTGGCCGTGCCACTCATCCCTGCGCCACTGCTCTTGCGGCCAACCTGCCCGTTGCTTCTCTGGCGTCTGCGACCCCCGCTGCTGCGGGGGCTCTCGCGGATGCTCTGGTGGCGCCTGCTGAGGCTGCTGTTCCAGCAACCCTGGCCCCCGCTGCTGCGGGGGCCCCGGGGGCATTTGCGGCGGCCGCGCCTGCGCCCGGTCAAGCGGCGCAGGCCCTGGAGCTGGCGCGGTGGCGGGATGGCCCAAAGGGCGCCATATAGACACTCATCCCGACATGCAAATGCGCGTGGAACTCCTTCACGGGCCTCGCATGCCCCAAGGGCGAGCGCCGCGGCCCAGGCCGGTCAGCCTCGGCGCTCGCGCGCGCGGCGGTGCGCCCGCGACCTGGAGGGGGCCCTGGCCCCCCATCGCCGCATCGCACCTTTGCTTCTTCACGACTCTAACACGCGCGCGCCAGTCAGCGCAGTCGGGCCAGTGAAATCGCGATAAATGGCACCACCAAAACAGAGGAGCAATGATTACGCACATTTGCCCGCGACGAACGTTTCCACGTGAATTTCTTTGCGTCGTGACGCCCTGCCAGTTGAACGAATTAGCTGCGCTGGCGCTGCTTCCATCGCGCGCGCATCGTCGTGAAATCCGAAGCGAACGCCGCCGCGACGCGCAAGCCGACCCCAAGCGACGCGCGTCGTCCGGGGCGAACAGCGCCGCCACCCCTCGCGGAATTGCGCCGCCGGGCCTTGCGCGGACATTTTAAATTATTTAAAACGAATGCGAGAAGTTGAACCGCACATGCAACGTGAAGAAGGCGGGGGAAAAAAAAGGGAAGCGGGGCCATCGGGCGACCCGGGCCACCCGCGGCCCGCGCGCGCTCTGGCCAGCGAGAACAAAAGCATACATCGCGGGAGGGGCGCCGCGCAGCGCGGCGCCCTCTAGGCGTT